TGGAAACAAAAGAGTCAATCCTCGCTTAACAAGAAGATCCAAAAAATAGTTAAGCATGGAGATAAAAATATAATACTATAGGATTGTATGACATAGAATGGAATTGAAGGGATGGCAAAGGTTGAGGGAAGGATGGATGCCAAGAAATTTGTGGAAATTTTTCAAAAAAAATCTATTCCTTAGCATTGAAGAATTTAGCATTTTTAAAGAAGAAGTGACTTTTTAGCAAGATAATGACCTCAAGCATAATTCAAAACTAGCATAGAAATGATTTAATCATTATTGAATTAAAATAATGGATTTGCCTACTCAATTTCCTGATCTTAATCCTATTGTATATCTTTGAGAGCACCTCAAACACCAACTCAATACCTTAAAGATAAAACCAAAAAGAATTTGAAATTATGGAAAAGAATAGCTGTAAAATGAAATAATATTGAAGCAATTTTGTGCCAAAAGTTAATAGAAAATATGCCTAGGAGATTGGAAGCAGTTATCAAGGCCAAAAGAGGTCTTACAAAATACTGATATGTAATTGGATATTACATTCAAAAAATTATTTTAGTACAGTTCTAAATTGAATTGATCATAGTTTCACAATTACTTAATGGATTCTTTTCAATTTGAATTCTTTTAATAGTTGTAAAAGAATATTTTATTTTCTATACAAACCATATGTCATTATTTACTATAATTCATCTGTAATACACCATTCTTTCCAAAATATGTCAATATTGAAATAGTTTTTTGAATCATTGTATATATATTTTTTATTTTTAAATTTCTTTTCAAGATGTGACATGTTTTTATTCTTCAAAATCATAGGTCCAATCACCTACCATTCTTTCTATAGTTGTTAAATAAAAAATAAAAAATAAAAAATAAAATTCTATTAGGTCAATGACTTGATTGATCCTAGCGACATTTTTGAAATGTTCCATGTGTTAATTTGAATTGTTATTTCTTTGAAACATGAGATATGAAACTGCATATTGTAACTTATTAAATAATGTTATTGTCTCTACTATAACTGATGTAATAATTGATATAATTATTAGCACTTGAGTTTTTAATAAAGTCAATTGCATTAAAGATGGTGGTATAATAACCATGGAAGTTTTTTTTATTGTAATAATATTTTGAGTTTATAATCTTACTACAAGTTCTTAGATCTTTATATCTATTTCTATATTTTTTAGCGTTCATGGCCAAAACTCAATACTTCACCTATTTCAAGAGATTTTTAGTAAAATCCTCTATTTTTTCTAAGTTTTTTTTAATGTTTATATATATTCAAGACGTAGTTTAGCTTTATTACCTTTTTCTAGTAGTAGTGTATTCTTTTAGAGCCATGCCTTGTAGTATTAGTAATTTGGTGAGTTGTACTTCTATACAAATAACTATGCCTAATATCAATCGTATCTATTGTAGTAAATTAATTTGTCCATGGATGGTGTTAATTAAAAATGCATCATAGAACAATAGAAGTGAGACATTGATACACCTAAGACATATATACTTCTTTTGATATAATACTTCTACGCTGTCGTAATGTGTCAAGTCTTGCTTGAGAATGCTCCGGGCACCTGGCTGTAGAAAGAAGAATAGAAATTGTGATAACAAAATTCTAAATAGAATACTAACAATGCTCTAATTAGACTATAATAATGGTAAACAAACGTAATCAAATTCAAAACAACTCAAAGAAATTTCAAACAAATAATAAAATTCTTAAAGAAATATTAGAATGATCACAAATTTTACTCAAATATATGTCAATTCAACCTTAATTTAATTCTAGTTAAAACCCTATTGAATTTCACTCAACTTTAGACCAAACCTAATTAAATCTTAAATCCTAATAATTCCTAAATCCTAAGTCAAATCCTAAACAAATCTTAAATTAAACCCTATTCCAAACCCTAAATCCTAAACCAAATCCTAAATCAAACCCTAAACCAAACCCTAAATCAACCCTAAATCCTAAATCAAATCTTAAATCAAATCCTAACCAAATCCTAATCCAAATCCTAAATCCAACCCTAACCAAACCCTAAATCCTAATCCAAACCCTAATCCAAATCCTAATCCAACCCTAAATTCTAATCCAAATCCTAAACCCTAAACCAAACCTTAAATCAAATCCTAACCAAATCCTAGTCCAAACTCTAATCCAAACCCTAAATCAAACTCTAACCAAACCCTAGATCCTAATCAAAATCCTAATCCAAATCCTAAATCAAATCCTAACCAAACCCTAAATCCTAATCAAAACCCTAATTCAAACCCTAATCCAACCCTAAACTCTAATCCAAATCCTAAACCCTAAACCAAACCTTAAATCAAACCCTAACCAAATCCTAATCCAAATCCTGATCCAAATCCTAAATCAAACCCTAACCAAATCCTAAATCCTAATCCAAACCCTAAACCCTAATCCAAACCCTAATCCAAACCCTAATCCAAATCCTAAACCGAACCCTAGCCAAACCCTAATCCAAATCCTAGTAATTCCTATGACAGATTTAAACCTCAATATCTAATTAATAAACCGTTGATCTCAATTCAAAATTTGCACACTTCTTAAAAATCAAGTTTAAAACAAGAAAAAAAATTTTGAAAAGGATCGGAGTTACCAAATTGACGAAAACCTCAAAAATATGTTTGGGTGTTAGCCGGCCTCCTTCTCCAATCTTGTTGCCAACCTTCCAGAGCCAATTTCTCTTCTTTGCGCCGTTCGATTGATTTCAAATTTCTCATAGACATAAGAAAACAAGTCTAATATCCTCTCACATAAGTTTTACTCCAATCCAACCAATAGATTGCATGAAATCTTAAAAACTCTCACTGGACCTAAAGTTCTACTTTCTGAGACCTTGACTCACTTAAACCTCAATATCTCTCAGTTCAACCGTTAGATCAAGCTAAAATTCACAACATGTATTCAACACAACTATAACCATGAACCCAAAATAATTCACTTATAGATCTACAACAAAACTCTCGAAATCACTCAAAACATAAACCCTATTATATTTCATAAAACCCAAGTCATCTAAAAAAAAAACTCAACTTTGCAAAGCTCTTAAAAATTCATATCAACTCCAAATCACCCAAAATCAATGTCCATAGAAACCTTATCCAACCTTCTCTCCAATCCCTCTCTCCGATCTGCCAAAGAGTCTCGGAGTCGTCGTCGAGACTCGGTTTTGAGCCTCAGGGTCTGATTTCGACCCTGGTTCATAACCGGCCCTTTCCGGGTATCAATATCTAGTTTTTCTAAGTAATTTTTTTTTTTTAGAATTTACTCTTAACTTTCTTCTAAAGATTCCTATATCATTTATTTTCCCAATCTACTTTGATTTGCCTTACTTATGGTAGTACAAAGTAAGTAGAAGTCACCTTTTTAAAAGGCAGCATTGATACCTTTTAATTTTTCTACCCCTTTGGCTATTAACTATATTTCTAAGACAATTTGTTCTAATACTTTGAACTAAGATCTCTTAAATTATAATAATCTCAACACTCTTTCACCTATTAATCGTGTTACATCACGACAACGCAAACACCACAATACTTGCAATTACATTAATCTTAGTACAATTAATTTTTTAAATTTTTTTATTCAAGCAAAAATAATACATAGTTTTGTCTAGCCAAAATGCTTATAAAACTTGAAAAACTAACACACCATGTTTATAATACAAACTATCAAATGTTTGAATTTCAAACAAAAAAGAGAGAGAGATTGTGTATGTATGTCCCTCCAAGGGTGTTTATAATGCCTAAAATTTTCCTAATCATTGCTTCTATTCTACTTTTGCTATGGTGCTACTACTAAATACCAATAGTTTTGTTATTGCAACTTTATTCAATCTTATTATTATATTGACATACAATAACTTTCAATATTGTGATTTTTTACTAAAAATTTGCTAACATAGTCTATAGCATTGACAAAGCATGTAAATGTTTTCCAACAAAACTTATACATTTATTCAATATAAAGTTTTCTTTCAATATAAGAATAAGAAGTCGAAATTCCAATATAACATAATTAATTTGTATTTGTAGCATTTTTTTGACTAAAATTGTTGTTTTTTAAATTTCTTTATTGTAACCTTGCATTGTATGTTTGTGTGCTTTGTAAACTTGAGTTTATATTCTGCATCCACACAGATTGAACCTTGTTGCTGATTTTGGTTTGTTATCTTACAACTAATAATTTAAAGACCAATGTAATTTATTCTAAATACTAGTGTTCCAAAAAGACAAAATTTCATTATAATGAAAATTAATATAAATGATATTGAATACCTTTTACAGTGGTAATAGATTTCAATGAAGTTTTTATTTTTTATTTTTTTCCCTGTCTTTCTGTAGACATTGATTACATACACTTGACTCAATGGTTTGTCATAGTTGCTGGACGACTCTCGATGTGTACCGTTGTGACCTATGGCCTTCTCCAGGGAATGCAGCCTTCCTTAGCAAGTATGTGAAATCCAGCAGTAGTTATGGGTGGATTTTATGTGGAAGTGATCGGCTGTTCTGACAAAACATGGAGTGCTAATCCTGAAGAAATTGTGTACTTGGCGAAATGGCTGAATCTCAAGTCCTCAGCATCTTGTGATGAAATATCTGTGGTCACTCGGCTGCGATTTCGAACAAGCATCCCTGCAATGTTTTGTTATCCTATGATCTTTGATCCCGCTTATCAAACTGTATGAATTCCTCATAAGAGGCGTTCAATACAGATAATTGTTTATCGAAGTCTCCTTCATCATGTCACTTATCACAGTTACAATGATTACATTTTTATCACAATTTGCCATAATTTAAACTCCGTGACACCACGTCATCGGGTTTAAAGCATCACCGTTGTATTCCTCCTCAAAGCGCTAAGTTCTGACTGCGTCTAGTGGCACAATTGCAACTCGGGGAAACAGTCCACATCACAACTTATGTTTCAAAAGACGAAGAAATTGGGGTCGGCGACGATGAGGAAGGGTTGGTGAGTATTGCTATGATTTCTTTTATTTGCAGTCAACGGAGACGGGGTGTTATTTGTATTTGGCGGAAACAGCTGTTGGATCGAGAGAGCCAAGAAAACGCACAGAAATGGAGCCGTCGATGTTTCATTCGTCGCATGGATGAGAGAAGGCAATAAGCGTCCGTTTCGTCTTAGGTGTGAAGGGTTTCAAGGACGGTCAGAGAACCCCAGCCTCGCGCTTATCCTCGCCCTCCCCACGAGTCCCTCGGGATTCTGTGCTTTCATGCGTCGAATTGCTCGACTCTGCGCACACTTATACGCCGCATCATCGCTCTGCTGCACGCCAGCAACGTTAGAGCGGGGAGTTTCTGGTAGGTACTTCTTCCAGCTCAGCACACTTTCGCTCAGAAGACCCGGTTGTCCAAATGGCTCGGGTAGGAAGAACTGTGCCGCGGATGTCGTGGAGCGAAGGAGTTGCAGCGTGAGTGCGAGTGTAGGAGAATAGCGTCGTGTAGACCGAGGTAGTTTTTCGTGAAAACTGGTACCAGTTGTGCCTAGGTGACACGAATCCACAACAGCTCTGCTCAAGTGTGTCTGTGGGTAAGGGTTTGCATCCTCGGGTAGACTTCATTTGTAGATGGGCATCGTCGGGTGAGTTTTAGGGCAGTTTCTGTCCTTGGCTTTACAGTTGTTGTTGCTCTGGTTTTTCTGGTTTTGGTTGCAACGTAGTGAAAGATTGTCTTCTGTGTCTGGTTGGTCGATCCGTTTCTGGTTGCTGCCTAGTTGAGATCGCATGTGGAGTTTTACTTGGTTTAATTTTCGTGTGGTGATCGCGAAGAGCTTCGGTCGGCTTTATTTGATGATTTGATGATGTGATTGTTAACATACCATCGTTCAATTTCTCGCAAGGGAAACCTGGCATGTACTTGGTTAATACCTGAAATATCGTTACGGGGTTGAGCGTTGGAAGAACATGACCTGAGGCGGCCATAGCCAGAGCAGCAGTGAGATTGGTCGTTGATCTCGTTGAATGCAATTCATGCTTGTGATGCTAGAAAAGAGATGCGCCATGCACAATGCCGTAGTGTCCACAGGACGTTTGATTCGCACGCTGAATAGACTGCTGCTATCGTTGTGATGCAGAAAATTGCAATTTAAGCAGCGTGACCTCATACTCCAGTATGACCTCATCATCTTATTGAATTGCATGTTCGTGGAGCATTACCTTGGCGATTACATTCCGCTTGATAATAGGATGTGCCTGAATGCTTCATGGCTGTTTGAAAGTGGGTGAAGTGAGATCAACTTTGCTGGTGCATGGTCGACAACCAAACACCAGGAAGAAACTCAACAATCTCGGGAAATCAGGTGAACATCTCATGACGTCATGATGACCTCAACATTTATAGAAGTTAGGTATGTCCATGTGCATGCTTGGGTCTATTTTTTGTATGGTGCAAGCTTATCTTTCGTGTGTGTAGTTAGTAGTTCTGTGAAGTGAGGGAAGTATGTAGAAATATTGAATGCTCTGATTGCATTTGTTTCAAAGTTTTTCCGTGATTAAACAATGGATAGGAGAAGATAGGGAAAAAATACATGTTTTGGAAATGTTTATATATTTGGAAATTTGTAGGACCATGTTTGTTGTAATAATTTACGATGATATATGTGTTGAGAGATGGTCTTGAGAGAAATGTAGATTTTGGACATGGTCATGATGCACATATGAAATATATAATGGATTATGCAATGTTGTAGTTGTGAATGATTGTGCCAATAAGAGAATGTTTGGGTAGCGATGGCAAGGTTTGGGATGGACAAGCTTGTTGGCATAGAGGAAAAAGTTTTAGTGTAATAATGTAGAAATAATATGAGAAGTTCTATGAAAAAAATGGAGTTAAATCATGAAGATCACTTTAGTGATTAGTTGTGAGTAGTAAGTTATAGATAGTGAGTGGTAGAAAGTATATGGAGTGTTGTTTAAAAGTGTACACAATAGATAATATGATATATTGAATTCTCATTATTGGTTTCACAAACAAATCTTGTTATTGTGTTGTTTTTTACTAGAGTGTGGTAATTGAGTGATAGTGGAAAAATCTACTTAAGTTTAAGTAAGCTTTAGAAATTTAAGGAGAATTAAGAAGTACATATCAAATATTTTGCAAGGTATGAATATTAATCATGATAAGTTTTGTATTTATGATTAGACATTTGTTTTATGTATACATAGAGAAAAAGAGAGACTTTTATTCTTTGTACATAAGTTTGTTTTACACCTAACATGTAATTATGAAGTAGAAAATTACTAAAAGAGTAATGGTCATAGTTGTAGGTTTTCTTTACTTTAGTGAAGTTCATTATTGAAGTTCATTATTGACATTCTATTAATGTTGAAATAGACTTTTTAGTGATGAAAATTGTCAAAAGTAAAGTGAACTTTGTATCAAGATTGTGATTTTATGCTTGTAGGAAAAATATATATTGTTTAATTATTCATCATGGTCAATATTTCGGAATTATCTATAAAATATGTTTAAACTTATGAGTTATTTGTAGATTTGTTGACATTGGGACTTCCAATGGTTGTGGGATTTTTTAATGTGAAATTAAAAGAAGTTGATATCGAAGATATTCTTATTCAAAGCCAAAAGTATAACAAAGAAACTGAAAATTTGATGAAGATTGAAGTTCTCTTGAACAAAATCAATGTGCAAATCTTTTAAAATCACTTGGTAATGTTACTAATGTATTTGAAAGTGTAAAGACTTGTAGCATTGTTATGTCTAAATATAAGATATTGTTTTGTGAATTTCAATATATTACAAAAAAAACACACATGTTGATAAAAGATTGTGGACAAGATTGTTGGTGTGAAGCATCTATGAAATAGATCTTTTGAAGTTGAAAGACTACAATGGAATTATTTGGTTTTGCAACCCATGAAGAAGTTAACTATGATTAAAGATAGCTTTACGAAAGATTGGATTGTTCAAGTAAAGATGAACAATTTAAAGATCATAAATTGATAGAATATTTTTGAGAAAGATTAAAAGAATTGTAATGTATGGAAGGTGGAGAATTAAATGGATTACAAATATCTATTGATGTTGAATGTGGTAAACCAATGCCATCGAATAATATCATTAATAAAGATCTTTGTAAAACCATTTGGTTTGGATTTTCAAGTGTGAAAAAACAAATTTTTGGTAAATTCAATAAAAATCTTAAAAGAAATAGGTGTTTTAGTTGGCTCTAATCATCCAAATTTGAGAAAATATTATCATGCTATAAAATATGAATCAAGTAGAAGTATTTGCTTGATAATGGAATAGATAAAAAGAAGCTTAATTAATTTATTGAATGAAACGAAATTAATGTTGTATTATTTTCTTTTTGATATTATATATCAAATTACAAAAGGAATATATTATTTACATGACATGCAAACAACACATAGGAATCTAAAACCTGATAATGTATTAATTAATTATGTGGATGATAACATATTTAATTGTGGTTTTCAACATGCAATTGTAAAATTAATTAATTTTGGTGAGTCCAAGATGAATGTAAGAAGGAATCCAATAAAAAAGAAAAATAAATTTTCCTGTGGAACTTCAATATATAGAATTCTTGAGGTATTAAATTAAGATATATTATTAAAAACATGTCATTTTCATGTAGACATATATTCTTTTGCAATGATGTATTATAAAATTCTTTCAAATAAAGATTTATTTCATAAATATAGAAATTATATTAAAATATCTGAATTATTAGAAATAATTATAAGCAATGATAAACCAAAGTTATCTTCAAATTGTAAAGAACTATTTCAATTAATTAATAAATGTTAGGCTTTAGATTCTTCAAAAAGACCAAGTTTTGAGAATATTTGTAAGAGGATTAATGTGTTGAAGAAAAAATCATTGGTGGAAATTGATACAACCAAAAAACCTAGAGGTTTTTAAAAACCTAAGGATTATTTATTACATTGTTAAAAGAAGATTATTAGGTGAGTGAATCAATGAATATGCATGACAATTTTTTATTAGTAAATTCTACATTTACAAGATAATTTGATGTTTTGGGTGATTATGAGATGTATTTTTCTATACATGCTACTTAAACAATTGTATCATGTCAACCAATGACTATAAAGATATATAGTCTTATTATAATTTAAAATATAGAATTTATATTTTTATTAGCTTTTTAAGTTGATTATTTATATAGATAGATAAATATGAAGATAAACATAAAGTTATATTTTTGGATAGAAAAAAATAATTTTTGAATATAAAATTATTATGTAAAAAAGAAGAGGCGTTGTGTTTTGTTGGCATAGGTTGGATAGGAAAAACAACATTAGCAAAGGCCACATTGAATGATATGAAGTACATGTACAAAGCATTGCATTTTGTTAAAATTATTAAACATGGAGTTTATGATTTTTCAACAATTTGCAAAGTATTAGAGCAACTTAATATTGAATTAAATCTCAAGGATTTTGAAGAACCACAAAAAATGATAAAAAAATTATTAATAAAAATAAAAAAATGATGTTAATCTTAGATGATGTGAAAGATCAAAGACTAATTAATGATGTTATGTCCAAAGATATTTTACATTCTAGCAAAGTGAACATATTAATTGGCACAAATATATATATATATATATATATATATATATATATTCTAATAAATACCTATATAATTAGATAGAAATAATTAAAAATAGATAAAAGTAGATTAATTTCATAATACATTCTAGAATAGCTTCTTAGAAGCTTTAAAGATGCTATTTTGACTTTATATGTATTTGTAGTTAATTGATAGGTTAGAAACTTGGTCAAAAAGTTAACCATGTATTGGTAGCTTGTAAAACAAGTAAACTATGTGGCGCACATATGAAAAACTTTTTTTGGAAATTAAAATATGTATCTTGTAAAGTCAACATGTTTTGGAGGTCCTATAGGACATTGCCATGTAGCTCCTACTTAAGAGTATATATGGAGGCAAGAGTAAAGCCTTTTTCACTCTTGTCAATGTCTTATTAGTCTTTAGTCTTATTTCAAGACTTTCTAGTCTTCTTGTTTTTAGCAATAGTCATTCTAGTTTAATATTATATCATCTTTGAGTGACTTTTTAGTTCTCTTTAGTGTCATAAGAGTGTATTGAGAATTTCTTTCTTCAAGATTCATATCCTTGATATTAATTGTGACAACACAAGATTGACAAGTAATAAAACTTTCTCTATAAAATCTATAGATTTGATATTGAAGAACTTGATAATAGTGTAATTTTGAAGTTATTTTTAACTTATTCTAACTAAGATAATGATAAATTGCTTAAAAAATTATTGAGATTGCCAAGAAAATTGTACAAATTTATAATAATGTGTGTTTGAGCTTGAAAGTTATGGGCTCATTTTTAGGAAAAAATACGAGGTTGAGATGTTGAAAATAAGCTTTATAAATATTAATAAATAAATAAATAAATAAAATTAGATGGAGATAAAAAAAAATAGTAATTATAAGCTTTGATATGTTTTAAAAATAAACTTTGATGCCTTGAAATCTAAAAAATTAAGAGAAATATTTTTGGACATATATTATTTTTTTGCAATGATATAAATTAGAGAGGTACAACAAAAGAAAGGATATTGCAAGTATACAGCTGCAAGAATGATGATTCTATTAACTAAAATGCAAGCATTGTATTAAATGTGTTGCTCATCAATCAAAAATAGAATTGGACAAAGATGGACTAATAAAAGTATATAATCAACTAACATGGATAAATGATTATCAAAAAAATAAATACAAGAATATACAAATTTGGAATACAAATACAATACCAATCTATGAACTGATAACAAAGATAATGTTCTTTAATATTGATAATAATGAAATGTACAAGAATAGTGATGGTTGAATAAGAATAATTAGGTTTAAAAATTATATATATTATTAAATATTTTTTAAAAATTATTATATATTTTATAATAATTTAAAATATTTTTAAATTAACATATGTATTGAATTTTTAAAATTAATATTTATCAAAATATAAATTTTTCTTGTATTATATTGAATAGGTGGAAGGAATCATATACAAAGCTGAAATGAAAAAGTCATTTAGTAAGATGAAAGATTTAAACTTCTCTTCTCTCCAAATATTTGATTATGATGCTTATGATATTTTAAAATAATATCTTTGTAAAGATCTAAAAATATTGAATTATATTTTAAAAAATTCTAAAAAATTAAAATATCTTATAATAAAAAATTCTTATGCTATTCAATATTTTAAGAATTTAAAAAGTCATCATTTGTAATATGGAATGAATATTTTTGAAAAGAACTTGAAGAATTAATAGTATTAAATTTAAAAAACTTTAATTTTTTTTAGATAATTTTCAACAACAATATTTATAATCAATACAATGTTAGAACTTAATTTGGAAGAATGTGGAATTTTGAAAATAATTCCAAAAGAAATATATCTAACTTCTTTAAAAAACAAAAATTAAAAGATTTTAAGAATTTAATAACATTGCCAAATGAAATGGAAAATCTTTGTTCTTTAAAAGAAATTTATTTGTCAAATTGCTCAAGCTTGACAACTTTGCCAAATAAATTGAAAAAAATATCTCTTTTAAGGATACTTAATTTAATAGATTGCTTAAGATTTACAAGTTTATCAAATGACTTGGCAACTCTTAGCTCTTTATAAGATCTTGATTTATCAGGTTGCTCAAGTCTAATAAGTTTAGAAAAAAATTTGAAAAGCTTCTTCTTTAAAAAAATTAAATTTATTGAGATTCTTAAGATTGACAAGCTTACTAAATAAATTAGAAGTTTTTCTATCTTTGCAAGAACTCGATTTATTAAGTTTCTCAAGTACATTAAGCTTGCCAAATAAAATAATACTTCTTTTATCTTTAAAGAAATTGAATTTGACAAAATTCTCAAGTTGAAAAAGTTTTCCAAATGAGTTAAAAAAATCTTTCTTCTTTAATTATGTTAAATTTATCAAAATATGTTAACTTAATAAGATTTCTAATCAAAATAGTAAAGCTTTTTTCTTTGTAAAAACTCTATTTATTGAGTTGCTCAAGCTAAAAAGCTTCTCACATGAAATGACACTTCTTTCATCTTTAAAGAAATTAAATTTGTCAAAATTCTCAAACTTAGAAATTTTTTTAAATGAGTTAAAAAATCTTTCTTCTTTGCAAAGATTTGATTTTTCAATTTTTTTTAAGTTTGACAAGCTTATCAAATAAATTTTAAAAAAAATATTTCTTTTAAAGAACTTAATTTAGAAAATTACTCAAGTTTAAAAAAAAAAAATCAAATTTATTTTTAAAATTATGTTCTTTGCAAATATTTGATTTATTTAATTACTCTAGCTTGATATGCTCGCCAAATGAAATAGCACATCTATCTTCTTTGCAAAGTCTTAATTTTTCAAGTTATTTAAATTTGACATGCTTGCCAAATAATTTTTAAAATTTTAATTATTAAACTTTCCAAAAAAATTAATAAATCTTTTTTTTTTACAAGATCTTCATTTATCAAATTGCTTGAATTTAACAAGCATGCCAATTAAATTAAAAAATCTATCTAGTTTAAAAAGATTTAACTTGTCAAAATACTTAAACTCAACAATCTTACTAAGTATATTAAGAATATTTTTATAATATAAGAAATTAATTTTTTAAATTATTCAAGTTTAATAAGGTTATCAAATGATTTAATAAGTCTTTTTACATTAAGATTTTTGAATTTTTCAAATTTTATAAGCTTGAAAAGCTTACTATCTTCATTGTCAAATTTTTTTCATTAAAAATTCTAAATTTATCAAATTTCTTAAGCTTGACAAGCTTACCAAATGATTTGGTAAATCTTTCTTCTTTAATAATGCTTGATTTTCTCTATTGCTCACACTTATCCAACTTACCAAATATATTGAAAAATCTTTGTTCTTTAAAAGAACTCAATTTATGAAGTTTATAAAGCTTAATAAGCTTTTCAAATAAATTGAAAAATATTTTTACTTTACAAGTACTTGATTTGTCTAATTGTTCAAGCTTGACAAACTTGCCAATTGATTTGACAAATCTTTTTTTTCTAAAAAAGTTTATATTATCAAATTGCTTTAACTTAACAAACTTTCCAATTGAATTGTTCCATCTTTCTTCTTTGAAAATGCTTTATTTCTTCAAAGCTTAACAATCTTTTTAAATAAATATGAATTTTTTACTTTTATATAAACAACTTTTTATTTGTTATATTGGTCAAATATAATAAGATCTTGTAAAAAATTGGTAAATAAGTTTTTTCTAGAATCTCTAAGATGTTGAAATATCAAACTCTTCAATATTTTTAATTGAGCTAAAGTTTTTTTTTTAAATACTCAATATTTTTTGTATTTAAATTTGATAAGCTTAGAAACTAACTTGGCAACACTTTCTTTTGTAAAAGTATTTGATTTGTTAAGTATTTTTAGCTTGGTAGATTCATAAAATAGATTGGCAAATTAGTTTCTTTGGAAATATTTGAATTATTATTACACAAACTTGATAAATAAATCAAGATTTCTCTCTTCTACAAAAATTGGAATTTTTTTTATTATGTTGTTCAAACTTATTAAGCTTAGAATAAATATTATTTTAAATTTAATTTATCAAAATATTATAATTAGACATTGTTATTAAGTGAGTCAGTTTATTTATAAATGTAAGTAAAACCAAAGTCAATACATATACACATACACATATATTTATGTATAAATATGTTGTTTACCTATAAAATTATAAAAAATAATTTTATAATTTCTAATTTAATTTTATAAATTTATATATGTTTATTATATACATGTTAAGTCAAATTTTAAAATTTTGACTTTATAAGTAATATTTTTATTTTATGCTTATGTAATATGTCAAATTAATATCTCTATTTTTTGTATACATCAAAAAAACTTATTAATTGTAATATAAATAATTTTTAAATTAATATTATCTTAAAAAAATATTGGTTTCATACATATAAGAAGTATGATAAATCTTTAAATCATAATATGAATTCTTTGTATATATATATATATATATATATATATATATACATATATATAAATATATATACATATATACAAATATATATACATATATATAAATATATATATATATATATATATATATATATATACATATATATAAATATATATACATATATACAAATATATATACATATATATAAATATATATATATATATATATTTATATATTTATATATATTTTTAATTAAAATAAGATATTACTTTTGTAATAATATCTTTAGTGATTTATGTTCTATATCATAATAATATGTAATTTAATATTTAATAAGAAGAAAAAAAATCTTTATGATTTTATTTTAAAAATTAACCATAGATGTTCTAACTCAATATCAACAATTGTCTAACCTTTAGAAAATATTCTTTTTATTTTATTAAATTAGATATACAAGCTTATAGATTAAAAGATCTATATTGAAGTCTATTTTTTTTACTTAAATTTAGTGTAGGAGGTTCAATTATTATTTGCAATAATAAAATGCATTCTACAAGTAGATTAAAACAATAAGAATCTAATTAATTGGTTTTGATATGATTTAAAGAATAATGTTAAAGATATATTTTTGACAGTATTAAAAATTGATTCATTAGAATAATTCATCATTCAAGCAATTATATACAACAATTAACACTTTAAAATTCATTAAGTTCAAAGATTTGGTTGAAGAAAAATAAATCAAGTAATAAAAATAATGTCCAAATTCTTATAAATCTAATAAATGAAGCCAGAATCTATGCAAATTGATACAACTCAATTTAAGCAATAAACACAAAAAAAAAAAAAAAAAAAAAAAAAAAATCTATCTTAAAAACTTGTATTCATATTATAAAAAAGTTAGTCAAATGGTACAAGATTGTAATATCAAATTAAGTAGATTAAAGCCAAAGAATAGACACTTAAACAAAAAGAAGTCAAAAATAAATATATCATATTGTAATAGAGACCTTGCAATTTAAAAACTCCATACTACAACCATCAAATATAAGCCTTATGTTATTACTAAATCTTGTACCTTATTATGAACTTTTTATAATTTTTAAGTTTCAAGTTGTGAATTTTCAGCTCAATGTCAATAAACTATCTCAAATTTTATTTGTTATTATTGAGACAAATAAGGCATGGTTATTCTATGATAAAATCAAGATCATTTGACCTTGTAATAAGTTGGATTATTAAATGCTTAACTTAATTATTATCCAAAAGTAATTAATTTAAGTATATGTTAATTATAACTATTATATTTAATAAAGATTTATCCCACATTCTATGCATCTCTTGTTGAGCCATATACTACAATTAATATACCAATGAGAAAGCAATTACTGCTATCTTTTATTAAAAAAGACAACTATAAAGAATTTAAAGGAGAAAAATCCTAAGATTTAAGGTAGTACTAAAATAAATTGAAATATTTTGTATAGTAGGACTAATATAATATTAGTAAATTTAGATAGAAGCAATTTAAGAAGCTTGTAAATATGTTATAACTTGTTGATGATTTACATTGATAACATCTATTAAAATCAGGATCAACCATTAACAACAAGATGGTATAAATTAAAGAGAAATAGATTTAAGAATTAACTTATAGAACTTTTTTTTGTAATATAGAGAACTACCAAGTTGCAAATTTATCTCAAGAGTTCTTATTTGTAGAATTATTTGTAGAATTAAGTTAAGACAACTAGTTATCTTAACTTAGACAATACTAAAATTGAAATAAAGATCTTTAAGACAAACATGTTTTTTGAAGACATGGCAAGATCAGGCATGTTTGGTACCACAATCTTAGAAGAAACTCTCAATGCTTAGTATTACTACTAAAACTAATACTACACTTGATGAATCTTTAATAAAGTTTAGTAAATATTAATTAAATATTTAGACTTTTATAGATGTATCATGTGGCTATTAAAACTTATCTTATTAATCTTTTACTTTTAAAAAGTTACATTCAAAGCAACCTACAACTTTAGGCCTCAAGCCTTGTAGGCAACAAAACTTCTACATAACCTTTGAAGCCAATAAATATAGAGCCAAGATTGAGAGCATAACTTGTATAAATTGTAAGATAAATAAAATAATTATTTTGATTGATTAGAAATGTATACTAATATATTCCATTTCATGTTTAGATTTTTCAGCTTTCAATGTGAATACATGGATCGACATAACAACAATGAATCCAAGAACCATAACTCCGTGATAGTCACATTAATATGCTTGCCAAATTATGCAATGCAATGTCTGTCAAACAAGGGCTACAAATTCAACTGGCTCATAGATTGGGACCTTACAAAGATGGAAGAATCAAAATGAAGATGGAAATTATGAATCATTTCGTCAACAAGTGGCAGCCATGAAGAAAACATTTTCTCAAAACAAGGGACCAGAACCACCAATTGGAGTGAGTATCACTGATTTTTGCACACTGTGGGATAGACACCCTACGTCTATTCTTCCGAGGAAGACCACATTGCAAACATGCCTCGCAGATCACAAAGCTGATGGTTATATCAGAACTTGGGTCTCAGACAGCAGGCATTGCGGAACTCGGCAGTGCTTACATGATTTGTGCTTATCAATGACTTGCACAGATCAGTTTGGCATGTCACTTTGAAATACTGCAATCACGGTTCAATTTTTCACAAGTTCTGTAGGGTCTGTGAATGATAATGGATTACACCACTGTCGAAACCGAAAATCTATTCAAAAAACAAGTAACACTTACTCAAGCCACCGGAACGCGTTACGGCACTCTGTTTCAGTGCACCACCATACTTGTGTATGTCTCTAGCATCTTGTATATACACCCTAATATCTTCGTAACAAATGATTCTAAAAAATAAATAAATAAAATGAATTGGGGCGACCAATCATTTTCTGGTGTTCTTTACATGTAAATATGGCGCCACCTCAACAACCCCTGTGTATGACGAGGAAACAACGGTAGCCAGATCATTCTAAGGTCTCAGTTGGCCACAACCGCTTCCAGATGTTGATCTCTTCCTTCGTCCTTAATTTTCTGATGCCTCCATAGAAACCCTCTGCCTCATTTCCCTCCTCCCGATGAGATTTTCGATTGATGGCGGCACGTCGCCACCGTGAACCAAGAGTATACTGGCTGAACTCCAACCAGACAGTCTCTGCAAAAGAAACACTTCTAAGTGTTAAATATATACAGCAGCAAGACATGTAAATGTTGATGATTGGTTCAATGATTTCTATGAGAGAATTCTGTTTCCGGATTCAAACTTCAGACCTCCTCATTTATCGTAAAAATGTAAAAACCAAGCATCTTGTAAAAACAATAAAACAAAACCAAAAAACAATAAAAAAAAATAAAAAAATAAAAATAAATGCACCTTCTCAGGATTTTACAAAAAGCCTGAAAATGGATCACGATACTAATAACAGCCAGAAAACCACCGGCTAAAAACAGCATACCAATTGAATGACAGCGGCAATGCCGGGAATTTCCGTCGCAAGCCTCAGAATGTCCCACCACACCATACCACCAGCCTGCAATGGCAGCATAGACATCAGATTTATAGTCTCAATCTACATCATTCAGAAAACTGCGAGAATGAAAACTGCAGATTGAGCAGTACTAACCATGATTACAGAAAGACAAACATCAACATGGGCACATCGATTTACGACAGAAGGGTTTGAAAGCTCAAATTACCATATGGAAACTCCTTGTTCCTGCGCCACTGCACCTCGACGTGATCGCCAGGCTGCAATTCTATTAGACAATCCGATTGGTGCAGGTCATGAGCAGGTGTATCCAAGGGTGGAGCACGAAGACGCTCCCACCGGACTCCCTCTTCTATAACAATTGTCCGGGGTCCATGGGGTGGATATCTGTAGCACATGAAATCCCGTCAATAAAACATACCATAAATTCCATATAACGAGTAAACTCCAAGAGTAGCATGTATGGACTAGCAAGAACAAAGTTGAAACTTGCTGGACTGCCAAAATTACCTGGCCTTGAAAGAATCAGTAATACGATCATAGTTAAGTTCCGCATCGTAACACGACAACATGAAGCCCACATGCCCATTCTGCTAAAAATGTTCAGATCAAAACTAGGAAATCAGTTGTCAAAAAAGCATAGTAACACAACATATTTTTGCATCTTCCTAATCTAATTCCAGGGCAGGTATGTCAATTAACTAGCTACAGCCACGATATCTAAAAAATTGACAATCAGACTTACAGCCTACAATGGCGGGTTTCACAGTGTTTGTTGACAACCAACAATATTAAGCTTTGCTAAAAACAAAACTCAAATTCCAACACAATTTGGGGGAACGGATAGGTTAGTGCAGAGATAATTCATAGCACCAAAGCAAGATACGTAATCATCAGGTGTGCATAAGGACAACACACAACAGACATGGTAAACACCTCTCGGTTATAGACTTGGGCGGGGAACCAGAAGCTGCCACTTTCCAGGGCCCAATACCATGCCATAAGAGAATCCAGAGGCGGAACCGCAGCAGGCTGGCCTTGAATATTAAGCCATGAGAAGCGCCAAAGACAAGAAAGAGGCCATCCCCACGGACGGGGAGGGCGCTCGGTTGCGGCTCCTAGCTCCGCTTGCAAGGTTAACTGACGCTGCCACTCGTGGAAAGCCAAAGGGCCGACGATACGTGCCCATTTTTCCTTAAATAGGTTTTGCCAGAGATGGTCACTGCGGCAACGCTTTCTCAGATCTTGGCACACCCCAGCCATCTGACATAGAGATGCGGGAGGAAGACGACCAAGGATTCCCTCTAGCGCGAGCTCTGGTAAATCCAGCACGGACATGGACTCAGGAAAGTCTTCCACATTCTCTACCTTCTTGAGACATCGCCGTTTATAAAACATCATTCCTAGTCTCCACTGAGGCTTTCCTTTGTCGATTTTGTGCAATTCCAGCGACGACCCGGAAGAGATGAGCGCAAACCAATCAGACAGGAGGCTCATGCTGTGCTACTGATGAAACAGGTCGAGTAGCCCAAATTATTGGGTCCCTTCACGTACTAAAAACAGTGGCGATGCAGCATGGCCAGTCCACGTCCTTGCGAACTACAAGACAATACCGCGCACATCAGAGTCAGTCCTCTCTCGCGCAAACAATGCAAAGGAATGACAAAGGACACACCTAAAAATAATGTTTATCGCACTGAAGCAATGCAACACTAACGAAATCGTATGGTCACATACACACGCCACCCATTGCCGTAAGATATTCCCACAATTCGTCCAGAAAGAGCCATGGCAATGTTGAAACAATTTCCTTCACGTTTATGTGGAGCATTTGAAGGAAACTGTTTCATCGTCCACAAAAGCTTGCAACAACGACTGAAACTGCCCACAATGGATCTATTGTTCAATTCAGATCATTACTTCAGGAGGTTAAAACCACAGAGCTTGGCAAGAAAATCTGAACTCCACTTGAAAAACTCCGCTCTGGCACTCGACGCACCACATAGACAGTCAACGGCGACGACATGTTCCTCAACAGGGCACGCTGAAAGGCAGTCTTTAAAGACCCAGTAAAGGTTATCAAGGTCGATGACAAGTTACAGTTTACACCCACAGATGAGCACCACCACTAACAATACAATAATGCGCAATTTGAAAATGTCAAGAAACAAAATTCTGAGGCTAATTCACCAACAGCGACCCTCGTAACGCAAATACCCCATACAACAATCGCATCGCAACCCAGTTCAACGAAACTGCTCTCCATAGCTAACAGAACCCAACAAACAAACAAACAAACCAAGGAAGGCAAACTCTAACAATCACATTCTCGCCAGCACCACACCCACAAAACTCCATAGTCATAAACCATCACCATTTACTACTCCTCACGTGCCGATGTATTTCCCTCTCCAATAGACTTAATTCACATTCACCAGCCTTGGATCGTTCAGATCGCCTAACCAAACGCGCTACATTCGCGCCACCGTCGCCCTTCGTCGCACCCCAGGCCCAATCCCAGGCTCAACTACACATCAACAGACGACTCAAACACCACGAAGTAGCAGAGCACGAAATACTCTCTCGACTGCCATCCAATTTCCCAGTCTCCGCTTACATGCCAACAGATCTTTCGTATGCCATTGAGATGGCCGCAACCCAGCCGGGCCAAATTGTCGAGCGACCGGGGAGCTTTGCAACTGGTTTAGGCGGAGGCCATGCTTACATTCATGGCCAGTCGCGATTGCAATGCTGCTGGAACTCCCGTATCGTTCCCCCCTCCTCCGCCCCTATTGCTTGCACAATCGCTGCCGCAACCGCGGTGCTCAACCCTGCCTTCCCCAACTGCAGCTCCAAACCCGCGTCTCGATCGTACATACACCCAATCGCCCATCTCGTCGTATCAAAAAATTATACCTGTACGTCTTGGCTTCATCGTACATGCCACGATCCCCATGCAGCAATTTTCGCGTCCTCGCCACCGACAGGTGATGCGGCTTTCCGATTCACGCTTGGGGACCTCCATATCTGTCTCACAGTAATCACTACTCCGTGACTCCAGTTGATGATTGTCCCCGAAGGATTTGTGGGTGCGCTTTAAGTTTGCTCCGGCGACGGCGTGGACCCTATCGGAGCGTTCTGGTGCAAATCAGCGGAATCAGGACATTGTGCTTCCTTGTCGTGTGGGGTTGGAAGGAGGGGGAGCACTGTGCGTTAATTGGGCATTCATAGCTGCATTCACTCGCAACGCATCCTGGAGGTCGTTGAATCCTCCGCGTGCGATGACTTCTCCGACAACCCGCCGCCGAATGCGATTGTCTTCGACTCTGCTTCCCCGTTTTACTGAACGAACCCCGCCGACGAACGAACGGGATTTTGGATGAACGTGGTAGGAAGGGAATCTGCTCATCAGTGGACGAGCATGTTGTGGATGAATGTGAGGGTAAGGGTATCTGGAAGAAGATATCTATGTAGACCGTTCAAATGGATTTTTACAAAAAAAAAAAATCAAAAATAACTCATACTTAGATTGAAGTTTTTTTTTTTTTTTTTTTTTTTTTTTTGAGAAATCACTATGAGTACATACTATTACATGATTTTTTTTTTTTTTTTTTCAATGAAGGTTTTATAAAGAATGTGCCAAATTCTCCCAATTTGTTATTTTAATGATCCATTTTTTTATGTTGGATTAATTTATATATAAATTTTTAAAATAAATTTAATCTCTTACTTTAAGATCTAATCAAAGATTTTAATGAACATTTTTATAACTTTTGTATTAGATTTGAGTTTCTTATAGATAAAATATAAACTCATTGTATTTGACATTAAACAAATTAACCAAAAAATTTGTAATAAGATTTCCAAAATCTTCAATATCATTTTTTAAGATAATAATTTTAAAAAAAAATGAAATTGATTTCTTTTTGTTAATAAGTGCAAACTATTGTTATAAAAAGATGTTATCAATCATAAAAAATCTATCTAACCATTGTCTAAATACTTTTGTAATATGATGAAGATATTATTCTATATGCTTATTAATATTTATTTTTTTATTATTATTTTAATACTGAAGATAAATATATATATATATATATATATATATATATATATCTTTAAAAATTTGATGCATTATTTTATGGGATTATATATGATATTTTGGTAAGAATAAAATAAAATAAAATAATAAATAAATAAAAATAATTATTACCAAAAGCTATTCTTAATTGTTTAAAACTTTAAAAAACTAAAAACTAAAATATCTATAAAAAAATATTATTTATAATTATGGCAATATTTTCTTTACAAGTAGAAGTAACCAAAAAAATATATATAATTAATGCTTTTGAATCTTAGTTTTGCTTATATAATATAAAACCTAGTAGTTTTTTTTTTTTTTAATTCTATATTTTTAGTTATACTTTATTTCTAGATAATAATTTATTATTATTTTAAAACATAATTTCATGAAATATGAAAGCAAAAATATACTTGAACAATAAAAATGCATCTGAGTTTTTGTCAAGGACAAGAACATGATAAAGACAAATAAACAAGTAAGACTTCTCTCAAAGAAAGATGACAAAATAGAAATAACTTGATATATATATATATATATATATATATATATATATATATATATATATATATATATATTAAAAAAGAAACTGGAATGGCTATTGCCAAAAGCCAAGAAAACTAGAAACCCTTGAAATTAGATTGAAAGCAAGAAAGAAGTTGACAAGAGTGAAGAAGGCTTCATTCTTGTCTTTATATATACTATCTAACTAAGAGCTACGTGGCGAGTTTTATAGGACTTCAAATATGTGTTGACTTTGTAAGACACATGCCTTGACTTACAAGGCAAGTTTTTCTACGTGTAGGCCACATACTTAGCTTGGTCTTCAAGCTAACAACATGTGTGGCACATAGCCAACTTGTTGACTACGTTTCTAATCCAAAAAGTTAATGAAAGATACCTATAAAATCAAAGCAGCATCTATGAAGCTTCTAAAAAGCTTCCATACTAAATACTATAGAATTAACTTACTTTTATCTACTTTTATTTACTTCTATCTATTTATATATGTAATTACTAGCTTACATGAGTATATCCATGACATTATCCCCCTTCTAGAGACGAGTTCCACGAGGAGCGGTCATCATATGTTGAGAAAATCTATGATGCGACAAATTATATTCGCCACATACTCTGATCTTTGTTTTCTTCGAAGATGATTGATAGGGCCTCTCAACCATCGGTAGTGTCCCATACCAGGGCAGGAAGACCACCCAATTATTTGATCATTGTTGAGGCCTTCATAACTTCCTTCGAATAAAACATTTGAAACACCGTCAGGAGTTGTTCCTACCTCTAGTAAAATCACCAAACATCGGGAGTCCCTTCGAAGGTTATGATACCAAACACGTTGTATCTCGCCATCTATTTGAGGAAGAACATGTCATTCTTGAAGATCTTCATCTCGATTACGTCATCTTGAAGGTTGTAACAATCATAATATTTCATCCAACAAGTCAAAAAATAGGGCTCTTCAATCGAATCCATTGGTTGTTGGTTCTCAATTTTCTGAGTATCACAACTACAAAGAAGATACATACAAGGATTGAAAATAGAATGTTATCTTGCTTAGATCTTGTTTCTTTTATAAAAAAGATTTTCATCTTGATTTTGATGGATGTCGTCGATGAAAAGCCTCCACTGCCTTTGCTGCATTTGTAAGATTCTTTACTAGCTTCCATGTGCATTTGCTAATATCATATCCACGCCAATGGATAAGATATTTCAATTTATTTTGGCACAGCCTTAAATCTAAGACTTCTTCGATTTCAAACTCTTCATTATTGTCCACTTTTATACAAGGAGGTGGAGCTTGTCTTCTTCTTAGTATGTCCACTGTCTTGTATGGTTCAAGAAGAGACATGTGCAATACTTGATGGATTTTCATTGACTCCGATAGATGTAAACGATATACAACTAGATTGATTTGTGCAGAAATAAAAAATAGTCCAAGCCTTCGATAGTCCAACTTGTCATAAAGACAAGTGGTCTTGATATTAGGATGAAGTAACCATACCTTATCACTCATGTGGAATGGTAGTTGTTCCTTTCGATAGACATCTGCATTGACCTTTTGTTGTTCTTGAGCCTCTTTTAACTGCGCCTTCATCGTTGCATGTAGCTCTGACAAATGAATTGTCAAATCTTTTGCAACACGATTATCAACTTTTGAAAAGTAAAAAGTATCAAGTGGTGGATGATAACCATAATTGGCAAAGAAAGGTGTTTGTTTTATAGAAGAATGTACCTTGTTATTGTAAGCAAACTCTGCCAATGACAAAAGAGTTGTCCAATCATCTTGTTGGTAATTAATGGTACATCTTAAATATTACTCCAAATCTTGATTAACACGCTCCGTTTGTCCATCAGTTTGAGGATGGAATGTTGAAGATAGTTTTATATCCACTTTTAGAATCTTGAAAAGAGTCCACCAAAATCTTGATATAAATTAAATTTTTCTATCTGATATAATATCCTTGGGTAATCCATGATAGCGATAGATATTGTCAAGAAAAAGCGTAGCTGTTTCTTCACTTGTGATAGATTTTGTACATGGTACAAAATATGCCATCTTGGTAAAACTATCTACTATCACGAATATAGAGTCATAAGAACCTGAGATTGGAAGATCCTTGATGAAATCTATAGAAATAGAAGACCATGGTTGTTTTGGAATGGATAATGGCTAAAGAAGTCCATAAGGTCGATGACGAGGAGTTTTTGATCTCGAGCAAACATCACAAGATTGTACAAAATCTTTGACTGCTTACCACATTTGTCACCACCAAAAGTCCCTGGATATTAATTCCAAAGTTTTATTGTATCCAAAATGTCCTACTGTTGGAAAGTCATGACAAGCATGAAGAACATATAATCAAGCTTCACCTTCTAGAACATATAGGTGTCCCTCAAAATATAATAGATTCTTCTTGAATTCAAACTTGGAAGTATCATGAGACTTTGAACAATTTTCTTTAATATCAGGAATAAGAAGATCAAAAGACATACTTGACTGAACTTGCTTAATGAAAGTTGAATCAACAGTTAGTATTGATTTCATTGCTCGAAGATGAAGATACTCTGGCTTCAGGAGAATCATTTGTTATTGATCAAAAGTAGCATCTCTTTCCTTTGGTGTAAGATAAGTTTGTCTAGAGAGTGCATCTGACAAACCTTATTGTTTTTTTGGTCAATAAGTGATCTTGAATTCGAATCTTAACAAAGACATACTCCAACAGGCTTGGCAACAATTCAAAACTTGTGTTGACATAAAATATTTAAGGTTCTTGTGATCCGTATACACTGTGACTGGGCTAGAAGTACTTTCTAGATAATGGTGCCATTCTTGAAACAAATCCACGATTGAAAGAAGTTCTTTGTCGTAGATCTTGTAGTTGATCTCGGCTATTGAAAATTTTTTGGAATGAAAAACTATTGGGTGAAGCTTATCATCTGTTCCCATTTGTGACAATACAGCACCCAAAGCAAAGTCTGATGCGTCTGTTTCCATAAAAAATGGCTTAGAAAAATCGACACGATACAAGATTAGTGCAAAAACAAAGGTTGTCTTCAAAGCTTCAAATGCTACTTCTGCTTCTTGATTCCATTGAAGTTTATCTTTGTAAGTCAAACGTGTAAGTAGAGCTGTAACTTGAGAGAAGTCTTTGATGAAGATTCTATAGTAGTTAGCAAATCCCAAAAAGCATTGGACATCTCTTACCATTTTTGGGATATTCCAATCCATAATAGTTTGAACTTTTATAGGATCCATCATAAGTCCATCATTTGAAATGATGTATCCTAAGAAGTCGACTTGAGTAGTATAAAATATACACTTTTTTATCTTGGCATAGAGTCCTACATCTCTTAGTTTTTGTAATATTTGGCGAATATGAAGTTCATGTTCTTCTGTATTCTTAGAAAAGATTAGGATGTCGTCTAGATAACACACAATAAAATCATCTAAAAACTCTCCAAAGATATCATTCATTAGATGTTGGAATGTTGTTGGTGTATTTGTAAGTCCAAAAGGCATGACGTTGTATTCGAAATGTCCATACCTTGTTCAAAACGTAGTCTTCCATTCATCTCTTTCTTTGATGCATACCAAATTGTACGCTCTCCGTTGTGGTATTACGTGCTTTCCTACTCGAGAATGTGCCGAGCGTCTGGCTATAGAAGGTAGTATGGAGATTCGCTA